TGGAATTGGTTATATAGTAATTGAGAGTTGAATCCTTGGGCTGGGTATTATCGACTTAGGTTCAGTGGAAACGGTGAGCAATAACTGATCAGTACTAAATAAGAACAATACATCTCTGGAGATTGATGGCAGAACAAGAAAAATTTACCTACATAGCTTATATATAGAGTTCAGTTTGAAATTCTCTGATGGTTACTTGGACTGGCATTTGAAGAAGACTGGAGGGCACAACAGCCAAAGCGTGATAGCAGCAATAAAAATGACATTAATAAGTATATCAATGATTTTTCATTGAGACAGTAGTCTTAAAACACTTCAAGAATAAAGCAATTTCCAGTTGTAATTTAGTAGTGTGGGGTCTGCTTTTGCGCTCATGAGAATAGTGATCCAAATTTCTTATTTTTGTGTTTCTTACAAAATCTGAAAGGAAAGACATAACACTGAAAGAGATAATAAAATAATTTAAATTTTACTGCAAAAATGATAGCTATGAAGCAATCTTTTTATTTTATGAAAATAAATTGTATTAAATGTTTTTTATAATCTTACTTATTATAAAATGCAGATTGTGTGTGTGTGTGTGTGTGTGTGTGTCTGTACGTTTATATATTGGATCGGATTTCCTACATTTTGCAACTGATTTCAACAAAACTTCACAGGTCTGCGTAAAATTACCTTGCGGTGGTTCTGACAGTGCCAAAAATTGGAAAAACACAATTGTTTTTGCACAAAATCAATTTGAAAACACAAAACACAATTCTGTTGCCAGAATGAAAGGGGGACAACTCATATCAAGTTATACTTATTATAAGACCCAGGTTGTTTGTGTGTGTGTGTGTGTTCCTTTATATATGGGATCGGATTTCCTACATTTTTCAACCAATTTCAACAAAACTTCACTTTTTTTTTGGCAGGTAGTGTTTTTATTGTTTTGCACACTTTTTCCTTTATTTTTACATTCAGAATGCTTTAAAAATTCCATTTACAAGACAATTGTTTATAATAAAATTTTATTCAATCGATAGACTCATAATGATTGAAAATAATGTTTTTGTTTGAGTTTGGGTTTGACCAATTCGTGAAAAAAAAAAAAAAACTAATTAAGACATGCGTGTCCGTCAACGTTAAACAATAATCTTTGTCAATTTTATTTTTCAGTCTTTATGATGGTTGATACTTGATCTATCTCTTACTGTTACATCCCCAGGCAACGCCAGGTTCTACTGCTAGTATTTAACAGATATCATTATTTTATTAAAAAAATAAAAATAAATACTCTTTTCTTTATCCCATCTTCTTCCATGAACTTTTCAAAAAGACAATTTTTCTAAACATTAAGCATGTATATTCAAAAATAATTTAATACTAGATAACTCTGTTAATTAGGGATAAGTCAGAGTACAACTAAAGACAACTTGAAATTTTAATTATTTGAGTTTGGCTACTTATTTTTTTTCATTTCTTTGCAATTATGAATTATGTTAACAAAAGTAACTTGACATCAAGCTTGAGGTTCTGCATTCAATGGCCTTTAAACGAGTTTTAATAAAAGCTAAGAAATTTTTTCAAAGTTCACGTTTCTTAATTATAATAGTTTTTATTGGATACTAAATATAGTTATAATTCAGGGTTTGTTAGAAAATAATTTTTTTTTTTTCATGAGTGTAAAAAACTATAATTTAAAAAAAAAAAACGTTTTTACTGAAAAAAATAAATAATACAATCCCAAAATTTCAATCTTCTGAGAACTTTGAAGTTCTAAACTTAATAAGAAAAACTGACATATTTTTGAGTTGAAATTTATGGTTTTAAAAAATATCTGACTGGGCAGCCAAATATAGTGAAAGACAAAAAAAAATGCAATATACATAAATACATGCACACACACACACACGTGTGTGTATATATATATATATATATATATATATATATATATGATCTGCAGTCTAAGAATGTGTACGTTGAATGATGGATATCCATATGGAAAATGGAATTAACTTGTCTGTCGTGTTCACTTTCACACTAATGCATTTAAGAAATGTATAAATCGATCTCGTCTCCAAGCTATGGGTTAAATAGTAGGGTAGTCTGGAATCTATAGCCTTGAGTGGCAGCTAGTCTAAGGGAATCTCTGAATTCTAAACCATAGAGAATGTAACAGGAAGCCATTCCATTGGTTTTGACAAGAAGTCAATAATATAAAGATAATAAAGAATCAGAATCTGGGAAAAGCCATGATCAATGTCTTGAAGGGCACATTAAAAAGAAATGATAAAAAAGAATAGATTTTACACAACAAATATTTATTTTTTAACATAATCTCTTTCTTTGTCAATGCACTTAATCTTGAATATTAATCATATAAATTGAACATTATACAATGAAATTTCAGATCAAAATTCAGCCAGTTTTTTTTTTTTTTTTTTTTTTTTTTTTTTTTTTAAATACAGTGGAGTTCATCCTGTATAAGGCCTGGGGGCCACTTGAGGAAGTGTTACAGAGTAAGTGGCACAGTTTATGAGGAAATGTGGGTAAGATAAGTTAATCCAAGACTTTAACAGATTAAGATTGTAGTGGTTTGGGAAGTTACCTCTTGGTGGTCAGTTCCACAAGACAGTAGGTCATGGGTAGAAGTTGCCAGAGTAGAACTTTACCAAAGAAATATGAAAGGAATGAGTGGGTTTCATTACACTGTACATAGCATCGCAGGTCTTAGCCATGAAGGTTAGAACTGGTGACTCTCAGGAGTGTAGTTGTGATGCCTTATCTGTGAGAAAGGGGTTGTAAAGTGGAAAATAATTTATCACCTACAAGGACATAGAGGCACTTCTGGACTCTAGATAAAATGAGGGCTAGGCAGCTTCCACCCATATGATAGCAGTAATGTATTTTCAGCCTGATCTGGTAAAGATAAAGGAGTGAGGTACCTGCTGAAGTGTTAGGTTATTGATTTATTGATCTACCCATGTAAAGATAATCTATTTGGAATGTATTCAGCCATTTTAAATATGCTGAAGACTGGTTGTGGGGCCAATCAACCAGAGGCAACATTACTGTGTATACAGATCAGATACTCTCTTAGAGAATCACTCAGCTGGCATTAGCATGAGGGAGCACTACTTTAGGAGCATCCCACATATATTCTTGTGTTTAATATACAGTTATCAAACTATTTTTAATGTGTTAATACCCCAAATATATCTTTCACCATTCCAGTGCACTTTTGAGTTTCTGTATCCCATTTTTTCATCATCAATTTGTCTTGTGTTGTTTATTGCAACTACTATCATGACGATGCAGTAAAAAATTCCTTTGCATGATGAAAGGAATGATAGAAAGTTTTAACTGACATAAAGAATTCAAAGAAAACAAGGTAGACGTATGCAAAAATAACTTACCAGATACGTATGGAAGACAATAAAAGTAACTGATAGCATACTGCCACTTTTAACACAATTTCCATTTAGGAGACTGAATTCTTCATAAAAAAAAAGAATTCCTTGTCCATGCATAATTATAAATTGTTTTTTAAATGCTATGTTTCTTCAGTATGTCGGCAGTCATGACTCTGCAAATTTTTCTTATTTATTATCTGTGAAATATCATGACTTGTCATTTAAGTTATTATTTAATCCATAGCTGAGAAAAAAAAGAAATGAATTTATACCTTTCCCAAGGGCATTAGTACAAAAGTGAACAAAAGACTAGGCTGGAATTTGAAAGCTTTGAAAGCTGCACTCTGTGTGTGTGTGTGTGTGTGTGTGTGTGTGTGTGTACATAGTGCAGCATCAGGTATTCAAGAACACACATTTTGTATGCTATTAATAGATCATCTAACAAAATGGTACACAGCATATTCAAAATTTTATGATTTGCAGTTCACTTTCAGAAGTATTGAGAGGATTAATATGGCAGCTTCCAATCTGACACAGGAAATGAAATGGCCTATTATGGTTCGGCATGTGCTACCACCCAGAGAGATAGCCAGGTTCTTCATGTTCAATGCTAGGAGCTGAAATTTTTTTTTTTAAATTATAATTTCTTTTCACTTGCCTGGCACATGCTGTGTGTGTGTATATATATATATATATATATATATATATATATATATATATATACACACACACACACACACAAACATGCAGGAATGTTGAAGTTCTCAGACCAACCAAGAAATCCCAAAAAAAAAAAAAAATTTATTCAGATGTTTGGTTAGATTTGTAAAGTGTGCTGGGATAAGAACATTTTATCCCAGCACACTTTTAAATTTGAAATAGACAAGATGCAAGAGTAAGTACATGGCATAAGAGTCTGTAATTAATGGTGAAGTGTTGAGTTAAATGCATTGACAATGAAGAAAATTATGTTAAGAAACATTTGTTGTTTTAAATAAATGCCATTTTCATCACTTAACTATTATATGAAGAGTTGTTTCTGTCTGACATACTTTCACAAATTTGAACAAACATGAGACTTTTCATGGGAATCATTTGATTGAGTCAAGTTTTCAGCTCCCTTATATATAAAAATCCTCTACCATTTTTACTGTGTAGTAATTGTGTGTGTGTGGGGGGGGGTCAGTTTTCACTCACCCACACTTTCTTTTTTTTTCTTATAATGGCATCCCAGATACAAAAGTCTTTTATCAGTTTTAACATTGAAGTTGTAAAAAAAAAAGAAAGCAAAATTTTTTATTTTAAGAAATTTAAAAAGGTAACTGAAATATACAAAAAGGCCATGGAGAAGGTACTGTGAATAACTGAAGATGAAAAAGTGGTTTGTAAAGTTTTGTTTCTGGAGATTACTCACTGAGCAACTTTTAAACACCAATTTAATTTTAATCATGATCAGATGGCGACAGTACTTGAAAATCATCAAGTATCCAAATTGAGCATGGAAAATAATTTGCATCAGATTGTTTGTTAGTTGCTTTGATATTTGGCTTCCATATGTAAGCCCTGTAGCACCTACTGTGGTGCAGGACTTATGGCGGCATCACATTGAAACACTGCACCTGTATGATCACTGAAGTTAAGCAACATCAAGCCTGGTCAGTACCTAGATGGGTGACCACTAGGGAATTCCAGGTGCTGTAAGCTTGCATGTGCTGTTGATGTAATTCCCATTGGTTTCATTATATTCACTTACGTACAAATACCTTTGGGAATGGTATGAATCCACCTCTTCTCCCCCAGCTATGGGTTAATTTGTAAGAGAGATCATTAAAACCATTATTATCTTAAACAAAAATTCTTAAAATCTAAAAATATTTCCTGGCTTTAAATAACCTGCAAAAGTATCTGTTTATATTTCTGACATGAGCTATTATGTACGCTATTTACATTATTCTGATTATTGTCCTCATATTTGTCACAATGTTTCAGCCATTGTATGCTCCAGAAATGTTTTAATAAATATGGTGACAAAGATGAGGACAATAGTCCGAATAATGTAAATAGTGAACCTGCAAAAGGTTAAACTGTAGAAAAATGAATCAATCCTGTGGTGCAAAGGGCTACAGCATCACTACATTTTTGTGGTTTCCATTGTAAGTAATTTTTCATGGAGTAAAATTGTTAGTTTCATACCAGACCAGTTTTGAATGCAGTTATCCTTCTAGACTGCTTGACAATCAAGGTTAAAGAGTTCAGTTTACTAATCACAAGTTGCTGGGAGAATAAATAGATTTACACCTTTCCCAGAGATATTTCTTTGAAAGTGAATACATAGTCATATACACTGAAAGTTGAATTTGGCTCACCAATCTCAATTTCCATGCTAATAAGTACTATTCAATCTTGAGACAGATTTAGGCTTTTCCCAGAGACATTTCTTTGAAAGTGAATGCAGCAGACTTGTCTGAAATTTGAACTAGGCTTACTAATTCCATTTCCTGTACCATTATCTGTTACACTAGCTGTACATATATTGGCACCCATATAAGTGAAAAGAAAAAATATGAACTTCATTTCCAAGTGTGATTCACAATTAAAATTATATATTTTTTTTTAAAAAAACAAATGTGATGGGCAATGAAAAGTGTAATGCTTACAACAATGTTCACTGCAAGAGATCACGAAGGGAAAGTAAAATGGTAAAATGAACTGTCAACCTTGTGAAAGACTACTAGCCATTGCTCTATAGCTAGATGCCCATGGTTTCTAATTGATTTCATTACAGTTTTGTGATCAATGTACATTAGCCTTCTTCAAATATATATATCTAGTTACTGCTCAAAAGAAACCCTTATCTCAGTATTTACCCAAGACCTCCCTACAAGGTGGGATGTGACACAAAATCATTTTTTTTTTTTTTTTACATGGGGCATTCCAAGACCATAGGCTCAGGCAAACTTCACCATAAACCCTGTATGCATGGAGTCAGGTTGCAGTCTATCTCCCCAAACAAGACTCTGCCTTTCAGCATAGTCTTATGTGGGTCTCCCTCTGCCCAGAGGCAGAGAGATTGACAAGAAAGGAGATAACCTTTCCTCATATACAGTTTTTAAAAGCTTTCACAGTATTTTCATTTGATATATTAATATGATTTGTCTTTTTTTTTTTTCTTTTTTTAACCATGTCTCTTCAAGAAGTAGATCATCATGGCTCGCCAAAATTTCCATTGTTTTAATATCTGTAAATTGTGAATCATTATGAATGATCTTGAGAAAAGTAGTGGAGTGGTTTTTCATTTCTTTCTTTATGATTTTCAATTTGATTGTCATTCACATAGACTGTTTACACTACCAAGGCTAGAGAACAGTATTACCACCTTTGTTTGTTTTTCTTTCCTCTATTTTTTTCTTACTATTAACTGTTGGGAATAATGGACGAGAAAGACCTGAGTGTGAAGCAAATGCAACTACAACCTTGGCTGGAATTTGAACTTGGTTCAATGATTTTTCCCTGATTTTCTGTACCATTAACCAAAAATTTGATAGTAAAATACTTGTTAGAACAGAAAGGGGAAGGTTTCTCTCTCTTTTGTTTTTTTGTTTTTAATCACTTTTTATCATTTTACCCCAAGCAAGGAAAAGCCACTAAGATGAAAGTGGTTACATAGTGTGAAAAAATATGAGGAAAAGAAAAACATTAAGCAGAGAAGGCTTTAAAAACAAGAATTAAGATGATGATTAACATTGCATTTGAAGTTTTTGAAGATCAAAGTTCATTGGAAAGCAAGAAGCCGGAAGAAAGTTTCATAAGCAAGAAGTGTGAGAAACTCTTAGCATTAGTTAGGTTTAGCTATTGCAACTGTAAAATTATGAGACCTCTTCACCAATCTAGTACGCACTTAAATTCATAAAATATAAATATCAAAGATGGAAATACAGCAGAACAATTACCATAAAAGTATTTATAGAAAAGGTACGGGGAAGCAGCATTACAGTAAAAGTGACCAAAGCTGAGATGCCAAGTCAGGATTAATAATATTGCAGATATGGATTTTATCAAAAATTCCTAAATACAGAGCAGAATTAGTGATGTTCCAACATTGCCAATTGGACCCAGAACTTTTACCAATCACAATGAATGGATGTTCCCTCAGAGAGACCCTGTGCCTTGAGCACCTATTGGGACTTAAATTCACCCCAAACCTCAAGTGGAACCCGTATCTATGACCCATTGCTAAAGATGCTGGAAAAAATGGTCAGTTCTCATTACTGCTCCAGCAAGTACCCAACTTCTGGTATCCTTTACCTTTACAAGAGCTAGATCAGGTGAGAAATGGAGTGCTGCTGTCATATATGGGAAGGAACTGCCTAGTTTTCACTTTCCACTGATGATAGTCGAAAATTGTCTGTCATTATGGGTGACAAATTATTTTCCATCCAACAACCCCTAACAAATGAGATATTGCAATCCCCTTGCTGATCTATCACCATTTCCATTACACTCTTTAGTTCCATCAGCCCTAACCTTCACAGATAAGAATCACCATGCCATGCACATTGTAATGAACCATCCTCATTCACTTTGTATTCCTTTTGTAGTGAGAGAATATATTTACCACACTGAGCAAAGCGGACATGTACCTGTTTGGCATATAAATCTAACATATCTGATGTTGTGAGGAGCAGCCATTAGCAATTGCCCCACTAGGCATGTGTGACACTTCTGATTTGTTTTGAATATGATGTGAGCGTCTTTGGAGTGGAACTGTTGGACGAGGTGGTTGATTTCTAGGGCTTTATGTGGATTAGGAATTTTGACGTTGGATCTATATTTTCTTGCAATTTGTTTGTCCTGTTTTAAACTAAAGCCATCATATTAATCATCCTCATTTGCTTTGTATTCCTTTGGTGAGGTGTAAGTTCCACTCAAGTAGCGTCTTTCCATGAACCACTGCCTTTTGGAACTGACTCCCAAGAGGAAGCTTCTCCATCACAACAATATTAACCTATTCAAGTCTAGGATTAACCATTATCTTCCCCCACATCTCTGCATAAGCTGTGCATCTTACTCTGTAACACTCTACCTCAAGTGGCTCTCAGGCCTTTTACAGAGTAAACATTGTAAAAAAAAAAAAAGTTTAAATTCCAACTGCATCTGTTATGTTCAATTTCATGCTAAACCATTTCTCCTTTATCTCCCCACCTTATCCCACCAGCTACAGGATAAATAGCAGGCAAACTACAGTCTCTTACCTTAGGCATGAACCAATTTAAGAGAAAGACTATTTTAAATTCAAAAACGCACCACTCATTTCTAATGCAAAAGTAAGTTTCTCTTACCAATAAATTAGTTGATGTGTAGTTGGGGGATTTAAATAAAAAAGAAATACAGTCAATTCTGATTTGGTTGGGGATATATGGATAATGTAACAGTTATTGGCATAGACAGAAGAATCAGGGAGTTTAAGTTTCAGGCTAGTCAGCTGTATTAATTTTATTACTAATTCCCCTGGAAAAGGCATGAATCCATCTCCTCCAGCTATGGGTTAAACTGGGCTCTCTAATTTAAGAGAAAGACTATTCTAAATTCAAAACTATGGAGAAGACAACAGGAAAGCACTCAACTTTTTCTCCCAGGAAGTCATGGCAAGATAAAGAAAAAGGAATCTGGAGAGCCATAATCACTAACATCTAAAATAAACATAGCATTAAAGAAGTGATAAACCAGTTGTAGTTTTGAATGTGATAAACCAGTTGTAGTTTTGAATGTGATAAACCACTTGTAGTTTTGAATGTGATAAACCACTTGTAGTTTTGAATGTGATAAACCACTTGTAGTTTTGAATGTGATAAACCAGTTGTAGTTTTGAATTGATAAACCAGTTCAGTTTTTTGATAAACCACTTGTAGTTTTTGAATGTGATAAACCCTTGTAGTTTTTGAATGTGATAAACCGTTTGTAGTTTTGAATGTGATTTTTGTAGTTTTGAATGTGATAAACCAGTTGTGATTTTGAATTTGATAAACCAGTTGTAGTTTTGAATGTGATAAACCAGTTGTAGTTTTGAATGTGATAAACCAGTTGTAGTTTTGAATGTGATAAACCAGTTGTAGTTTTGAATGTGATAAACCAGTTGTAGTTTTGAATGTGATAAACCAGTTGTAGTTTTGAATGTGATAAACCAGTTGTAGTTTTGAATGTGATAAACCAGTTGTAGTTTGGAATGTGTTAAATTACTATTGATTTATTTTTATTTAATATAAGAGATAAGATGTATTAAATAAATAGCTCAAAACTTTTATTTTAATGATTATAAGGTGTGTCGGTAGTGTAACTGTTGTCAACACAGGAAGTGGAATTGTCAAGATAAGTTCAAATTTTGGCCTAGTCTGTTGCATACGTTTTTGCACTAATGCTTTTGGAAAAGGTATGAATGTGTTTCCTCTCCCTCAGCTATGAGCTAAACTGGCCTCTCCAGCTTTGGATATCAGCCAGTTTAAAAGAAACACTATTCTAAATTCCTCAGCTATAGAGAAATACATCAAGAGACCAAGCAGGCTGAGAAGGTTAGGTTGATATGAGGGCTCAACATATTAGATAGCATTCGATAGATTGAGTGTTAGGTAGTTATGAACTAAATGCTGGATAGCAATAAACACATAGAAAAATGTTAAGAGAATGAAATAGAGAATTTCTGTGTGT